ATCAGTCATCAGAGCAAGAGCTTGCGGCATAATTTCCTGATAAATCATATTTTTCTCATCAGCAGTAGCTGTTTCGAGTTTTTGTTGAATGAATCGGCTCCCATATTGATCCCCACTGCTCATAAAAAAGTAACGGAAGACGAGAAGAAACTACTTTAGGATAGGATTGTGGTGATAAACCACGTATAATCAGTTCAACAAGCAAGATATATACATACCTGAATTCAAACACATGTCCGGCAATTTCAGAAAGTTCGAAACATTTCGTCTTATTACTCTTGAACTCCTCAAGAAGAGAGGATGAAAAGCTTTCATTGATATTTCCAACGTCCAGATGCCAAGGACCCATAACACCACCTAGGCTCCTCGTACCAGAAGGATAGCGCAAATGAAGATCATTGTGCCTGATAGGACTACCAGGTCCTACAGGCGAGTTAGAAAGGACAGTACTACCCATAGGACTTCCGGGATATGACATGTGAACCCCAAAAGCTGGATTACCATAATAACCATGATGATTTGAAATACCAGATTTACCACTGAATGGGACACTGTACTGTGATTTCTGAGGTGATAGAAGAGACCCCACGTAAGCCTTCTGCAATTCTAGCTGATTCATATATGAACTGCCCAGATAATTTCTATCAAGAGAAGGATCATTTAAAGCACCAAGTTGTGCCGCAGCATATTCAGATGTCCTCAAGTATTGAAGATAAACGGGATCAACAAAGGACGCCTGAAGAGCATTACCCGTCATTTGACCTCCCGATTTACCAAGAATATGTGAATCAGAAGCAGAAGAAGTCAGGTTTGTTGCAGAAGCTAAACCTCCACCAAGAACTCGGGTCTCCAAACCAGAGGCTCCCAAAGCTGAAGCTGAGGCAACATTTTCAAACAATGTTGGTAAATTACCAGTCCCGAGTTGACCAGGCATCATAGATGCCATAGCTGGACTCATTGAGTACCCACTCAGGCCAAAGTTCTGATAAGTCAAATTTGTACCATCCACATGCTGAAATTGTGCTCCATTGTTATGAGACGAAACATCCGAGAATGAAGATCTGGATTGACCCCCAGAATCGGTCTTCTTTGCAAATGACTGTTGCTTAATATGATTCTGACCTCCTTGCAGGCCATATATGTAGCCTTGTTGGGTATTACAATCTTGTTTGATTTGAGATAACAAATGGCCTTCCTCATTTATGGTGTCCTCCGGTGACAAGTTCATACCAGATAAAGCTGATACAAGATCTGAAGACTCGTTGATTCCAGATGAGACACCATTAAATGAATTTGGGCTTGCAATGTTCCTTTTTTCAGCAGTTGCAACTCTTCCACCTCCAATAGGGGTAAGACAAGGACTAGGAGCCCTTGCAACAAGCTGCGGATCAGGTGTATTGCTTCGTGACAGTGAACCACCCACGGCTGCAGCATAAGTGTATGAAGAAGGGGTTCCAATACTTTGACCAGCAGAGGAGCTCTGACCATTACCACTGGATCGCATTTCAGACATCATCAAGTCATGACGCAAATTGGCCAGTTCATCAGTAGCACCTATAGTCTCCACATTTTCTTCAAAAGCATTGCAGCTGGCCGGACGGGATGGCAGGCCAGTAACAGGAGTTGTGCGCCCCATGTCATCCTGCATAGACGTTAGATGCTAAACTACTTTGGAAAACTTCTTAAAGTTAAATTATTTTGTAGCTCACACCACAGTAACAAGCAACAAAAATACATATAATGCCAAACAAGAGAAACGTGAGCTAAATGGGATAGAATAACAAGCAAGGGAGTTATACAATGTTGGAAAGAACTCGATGCATGTTAGAAAGCCAACATAGACAAAAAGAAATTATTGAAGTATATAACCACTTCAAGAACAGATTCAAAACGCCCAAAATAACCATGAGCAGCCGCAATATCAGTGACAACACTTCGAAAATTAAATTGAACTGATCAATCCGATTAAAATCAATCACTCAAAATCAAGTTAAGAGAACAAACCATTAACTAACACCCAAATTTTATCAAGTTGTAAATTTTAAAATATAAACTCAAGACTTCTAGTGTACTATGTCAAGACTTCAATGATCAAACAGATTACAAGGCTGAAGCAGCAATGGAAATGATAGAATCTAGTAACAGGAAGCAATTTACCTGAAAGATTTCAGCTAGACTCTTCTGTTTCGTTCCAAGTCCTAACCCAGGCAAACCAATCAACCCGTCACCGCCCCACTCAGGGGCGCCATGCCCTTTGTCCAACTCGACATCGGATGCTTGTTTCCTAGCATTAAACCCAGGGGGCATAGAAAACAAGGATCTGCCCGCGCCATCCACCCCAACATTCGATCGCCTTGTATCTCCAATCCCTCCCAACCCCAAATTTGCCCCTTTCAATCTCTGCGAAGACTTCCAATCCTCCTTTGAAATCAATGGAGGCGGAAGCCGAGGATTAAGGTTCACATTCGAGTAATAATATGATAAGTAAGCTGGATCAGACCTAAGCTGCTCCTCTGATACAAAACCATTCACATTCTTAGAACCAGTTATCTCCGCAAAGGCATTAGCAGAACCAGCAATACCACCAAACAAACTACCCACCGCACTTAAAGAGCCTTCAACAGTCGGCGGAGCTGATCCACTTCTATATAAATTCAGCTCTCGTTCACGATCATCGGCCTCTTGCCGACGCTGTTCACGAAGCAATAACCCTATCTCCGTCTCTAATTCATCACCAAACGATCCTTCGTTACCACCAAACATCTGTCTAACCCTTCCGCCCCTATCTGATCACTGCCTCAGCGCAACAACAAAACGCTACGCCTCAATAAAAAGAGGGGAAAAAAAAACACTAATCCCGAAACAAAAATCCTACAACCGGAAACAACTATTTACAGCTTCAAAAAAACCATCCTAAACTGATCAAAACCAAAATTTCGATTCGTTCCACCAATTCCCTAACCCAAACCTTCACAACCTAACCATCAATTACAAACCCAAAAACAAGTGTTATAAGCATTAATTTTCACTACAACCTAAATTCTACCAAAATACGGAAAATTCCCCGACATAATCTTCATGTAATAACACCACCAGCGTAGCAAATATATCAAATTACAAATGGTAAGAAGAGTGATGAGAAATCCGACGAACAAAAAAAAAATCAAAAGAGTGAACGAAAAAAAAAAAAAAAAGAAGTAGATTCCCGCAGCTGAAATGAGATCAATACGAAGGATTGAGATATAGAGAACAAGGACAGGGACAGCTGAGATCAATCCGGCGGCGATTGCTACAAACGAGAACCCTTTTAGGGTTTTATTCCATTTGAAGCTGAGATTAAATACAGTGAAGGTAAAAATCTATATATATATATATCGTCTTTATATTTAAACTCAAATATCCGAAGAAAAAAAAAAATTAATCAGTGATTGACCAAGCGAAGCAATGATAAGTAACTAATAAAAATAATCACATTTTAAAATAATAATAAATAAAATAAAATAAAAATAATAAACGATGAAGATGAGTTCTTCAGTGTTTCAGACAAGGAATCTCCAGATGACACGTCAGTTCCACTGAATTCGACCCGTACCTTCTATGTTCAGAAAAATCCTAATACACACTTCTAACTTCTTACTTGCTTTTCTGTTTCTGTCTTTTTTTTTTCACTTTTACTGTTCCCTATCCTTTTTGTACCTTACTATATACACATACATATATTTTTTACCATTTGTAAGTTTTTTTAACTTAATATATTAAAATAAGTATTTTGAAAATATTACTTATTTCATGTCTATTTTTTATAAATTAATTTTTTTTTTTGGTATAATATTAGATTTCATATACTAATCTTGGTAATTTAACTTACTTAATAAATACAGAAACATTATTTTTCATAATAATACAGTAATTAAAAAAAATCAGTAATATTTAATATGAAATTACCCGAAAAATTGGTGATCAATGGTATTTATTTACCGTGAAGTATTGGGCCCACCAAAATAAGGCCCATTAAGATCCAGCCCAATAAAGTTTCTTAGTCCAGTTCAGATTCAATGGGCTTAATTTCGATGGTAAAGGCCCATTTCATTCTGGGCGGTTTTCCCAGTTTTGGATTCTCATTTTACCAGGTCCACAGCCCATACACGAGAGTCAACCGCCGTATGCGGTGGTTAAAAGCACGGCGGCGGCGGCTTCCCGATGGTCGTTGGTAACAAAGAGACAAAAATTAGTGGGCTACCTAAAAGAGAAAAAAACCAATTTCTTTTGATCTGTCACGCTAATCATTTTTCCCAACTAATCTTATTCTAAACTCCCACAATTTAATTTATTAAATAAATAATCCTACATTATCCTAATTGAAATTATCTTATTTATATTAATGCCATGTCATCACTTATGTCATCCTTAATTATGATTTTATATAATAATTAATTTAAACCAAGATTAGTACCACAAATTATACTTTATTTTTTTAATTAGACCAATACCTTGGGCGAGAATTCACCACCCAATTTATTTTATTTTATTATATTAAATTAAATAATCTCCAATTTCTTGTCGTCCTCCTCTTGGCATCTGCCATCGCTCTCAATACGACGTGTCGTTTTTGTATTTAAAAAGATAAAACTCGTTCAAAGTCGCCTCGTTACAGAACGTTCTTCTCTTACCAGGCAGTTTGAAATTCAAACTCGGCGTCCCGATGTGGCAACGAACCAGACCCGGTCCGAACCAACCGGATATTTGTTTGTGGGTCCCACTCCGGTTCACGCGTTCTCGTTCTGATTAGTTTAATCTTTTTAGAACTTTATCCGTATTGGAGCGGGGATGGGCCCAAGTTCACAACTCAACGTTCACTGACACTGTCAATGAGTGAGCTAATACAATGAAGACACGTGTCGTGCTAATTCATTGAGGCGAGGGCGCGTGGTCACGCTCGTGTGAAACCGCGTGCCTCGTTTGTGCCCAATTTCGGTGCGTCTTAAAGCTCCCTCTTTTCTTCGGCTTCTTCGTTTCCACAAAGCACGAGTTTCCTTTTTTCCTGGTTCTTTCGATTTCTTTGTTTCAGTTAGATCTGAGGCGATGTCTACCGGAACGGCGTCGTATTGGTGTTACCGCTGCAATCGCTTCGTTCGTGCTTGGGTTGAGGACACCATCACTTGTCCTCACTGTGACGGAGGGTTTGTTGAAACGATTGAAACCGCCTCTTCTCTCCCGGCGGCGGATCTCCACCGTCGGCTCTCACCGTCTGCGATTCACACCTTGGATCAAGATCAGTTTCCGACTTCTCGCTTGAGCTCTCGCCGTAGTCGCCGGAGACTTGGGGAACGGACGACCTTTAACCCTATTGTTGTTGTTCGTGGTTCTGCGGATGGCGGCGATGTGGTCGGCGGCGGGGATAGAAATAGCTTCGATATTTACTACGACGATGGTGCTGGGTCTGGCCTTCGTCCGGTGCCGGCGACCATGTCGGAATTTCTTATGGGGACTGGATTCGATCGCTTGCTGGAGCAGTTGGCTCAACTGGAGATCAACGGGTTAGGTAGATCTGAAAATCCGCCGGCGTCGAAAGCCGCTGTGGAATCAATGCCGACAATCGAGATTTTAGAAAGTCACGTTGGTTCCGATTCGCACTGCGCCGTGTGTAAAGAGGCGTTTGAAATCGGAACGGAAGCCCGTGAAATGCCCTGTAAACACATCTATCACTCCGACTGCATAATCCCTTGGCTTTCCATGAGAAATTCCTGCCCAGTCTGCCGGCACGAGCTGCCATCAGAACGTGAATCTCCGGCCGGCGGGGTTTCAGATCGGGTAGTTGACGAAGAAACCGTTGGGTTGACGATCTGGAGGCTCCCAGGTGGTGGGTTCGCCGTCGGGCGATTCTCTGGCGGGAGATTAGCCGGAGAAAGAGACCCACCGGCCGTGTACACCGAAATGGACGGTGGATTCAATGCAAACGGAGCTCCAAGAAGGGTGTCGTGGGGTTCAAGAAGAAGCAGGGGAAGAGAGAGCCGTGGGATTGGACGAACATTTCGTAATATCTTTTCCTTTTTTGGGAGATTAAGATCATCAAATTCATCTTCTCCGGCGGTTTCAAATGAATCGGAGTCTGTCAGTAGAAGCCATAGCCATAGCCATAGCCATTCGGGTTCTTCAGTGTTCAACAGATACTTGCGCCGGCAAAACAGAGCATGGGCGTTGGAGAACCAGAGCGATAACGATCGATGGTGATATTCTTTTTCACTCAACAAAATACAATTACTCTGCGTTGTATTCTTTTTGATCTGTTCATTACATTTATTGAACAATGCCTTCACAAATCAAATTAGATCATGTGTATATATATATATATATATAGCTTTGGGCTTGGCAAAACAATGAATGCCTTTCTTTTTGCCATTTAAGCTTTCTTTATACTCAGTTTCTGAAACAGATATCATCTTGAGTTGATCTGCTATGTCAATTTGAAGCCATTTTAGGTGTAAACTTACTTGAGCTTGGTTTTGGATTGTACCCAAAAACAATGGTGGGTTTACTTACTGTGATATCAATCTGGAAGCCACTTCAGTTTCTGAACTCCACTGAATCTTCTTTTTGGATTCTACTGTGTTATGATCTGAATATTGTTTAGTTAAGACCCGTAAAAGATGGTAGAAACCTCTTCGTAGTAGATCTGTTTTAAAACTATGAGGCTGACGGCGATATGTAACGGATCTTGTGGTGGGCTTGCATTGTTACAAAGAGTATCAGAGCCAATTATTGAGCGGTGTGCCAGTGAGAACGCGGGCTCCCAAGGGAGTGGATTGTGATACGTAACGGGCCTAGTGGTAAGGCTTGTGCTGTTACAAATAGTATTAGAGCCCGACATTGAGCAATGTGACAGTAAGAATGCTGGCTCACAAGGAAGTGGATTGTGAGATCCCACCTTAGTTGAAAGTGGAACGAAACATTTCTTATAAGGGTGTGAACATCTCTCTCTAGTAGGCACGTTTTATAATCGTGAAACTAACGGCGATATGTAACAGGTCAAAGCGAACAATATCAATTAGCAGTGGGAAGTAATGGAGGACTGGGTATTGAAACTTGAACCAAATATGAGTTTAGAATTTAAGAAACTGTGAAGGAATGATTGAAGATGGGCAAAGTGTGTGGTGTTTATTACTGAAACAATCCGGTAACACGAAGATTTTCAATCCTTTGTTCTATCATCTGAATTATTATGATGTCCCACATTGAGGAGAACAAACCATCATTTATAAGGGTGTGGAAACCTTCTCCTAACATACACGTTTTGAAGCCTTGAGGGGGAAACTCGAAAGGGAAAGTTCAAAGAGGACAATATCTGTCAGCGGTGGACCTAGGTCGTTACAAATGATATTAGAGTCAAACACCGGACGATGTGTCAGCCTTCTCGCTATTCTTCGAAGGGGGTAGACACGAGGCGATGTGTCACGAGAAAGTTCAAAGATGACAATATCTATCAGTGTTAGGCCTAGGTCATGGTATCAGAGGTGATGTGTCAGCCTCAAAGGGGAGTAGACACGAGTCAATGTGCCATTAAGGATGTTGGACTCCAAATGGGTTGATTTAGGGGCGGTCTCACATCGATTGGAGGAATGAAAGAGTGCCAGCGAGAACGCTGGCCCCGAAGGGGGGTGGATTGTTATATCCTAGATTGGTTGGGAAGGAAAACAAATCACGAGTTACAAGAGTGTGGAAAGCTTCCTCTAGCAGATGCATTTTAAAGCCTTGAGGGGAAACCCGAAAGCGAAAGTCCAAAGAGGATAATATCTGCTAACGGTGGACCTGGATCGTTACAGGTATATTGGTCATTCTGACTGAGACTACTATAATTGTTGAGTAAATATTAGAGATAATCCTGAGTTCCTTTGATTTTTTTTTTTTTTTTTTTTTAAGACTTGAGTGGTGATTCTCTCTCCACTCTCTTCCATATTTATCTATTTAAATGTGGACTCTTCGACCCTATTGGTTTAGGGTTGGGTGAGCGTGCATGTTAAATGGATTCGACCAAGAGTCGAATGAGCCTGCATGTTAAATGGTTACTAATAGTATATATTTTAAAATCATTCTCTCGTATATAATACGTAAAACTATTAGCCATATGGTGATGACATCATCAGATAATTCCCGACAATTTGACATAGTTCAAACTTGAACTTAGCACTCCTATTCATAGACTCGACTATTAGCATGATGTTCTGTGTTACGTGTTGCTTGAGCAATCAATTTTAAACACATACGGGGATTAGAGTTAGCATATAAGAATAATTTTAGAACGAGCATCAAACATGAAAGAATAAATTAAAACGATATTTCTTTTATTATATATAATTTAATCCTACTTTGTTATTTTAATTGTGAATGATTATTAAGTATTATAGTAATCATTTTGAGATACATTTTTTTATTCATCAGTGTCAGAAAATTATTGTTTGAGATAATTTAAAAATCATAAAAAATTGATTTTTTTTTTTAAAAAAAAAAAAGAGTATAATATTCTCTCTCATGGTAATGGGCAGAAACTGTGATTAGCCTAGCTCTAGTGTCTGGATCCAAAATGGCCCAAATTAAATGTTTATTATTTTTTATTATTATCTTTTTATCTATTTGATATTTGAACTTGAAATATATATATATATAATATACTCACCAACTTTTAATTTGTTTTTAAAAATAAACTAAAAATTTATAATTTATAATTTTTAAATAATTAATTACGAATCGCTTAACTCTTTTGATCACTCAAAGTTAGAACAAACAGCCAAAATTTTAATGGACAATCTCTTTGAGCAGTCGATGCTAGCCATCAGCACGCCGCCAAACGATACATTGGTAAGAAATAATACGATGGTTGTTGTTTTACAAGGTAGGATCGAAACAAAATTTCATTTTATGAGCTGAAATTCAATCTAGTTATACATAGATTCAACTAGCTTTTACGAAGAAATTATGCTCACATCAATCCCAAAAAAGACAAGACAGTTGTTAAAATTTTAAATTTTAAATTTTAAATGCATTCAATCAAATATTGATTTTTTTTTAATAAATTTTGTAGTTCAATAATTCTAGCCTTCGTATTTTAATATTTTTATTAAAGTAGATATATTAAAATATCCATATAATAATAAAAATTAAAATTATTTAATAATTAGGAAATTATTTTATTTTTAAAGATATGGTATCTAAATTTGGAAATTATTTTATTTTTGGGTGTGTTTTTTTTGTAAGAAAAAGGAGGGAAAAGTGAGTCCACAATTTCAAAGAGAATCTACGCATTGCTTTCACATCTCCCACTAATGTACATTTTTGGCACCTTCCCCAACACTATATACACAATCTTCTTATCAAACCAGATGCGAATTCAGACCGAGCTACGAGTAACACGATGAATCGAAGCTAATTATCATCTTAACAATTAATTACTCGATTGATACTCATAATCAAAATATGGGTTTTTTTCAAAAAAAATAATAATAATTTATCTATCGTGTTATTACAGGGTATCGAGGGAAAATTCGAAAATTGTTGCGGGATTGACATTAACCCCCAAATTAAAATTATCTAATTACATTTTTGAATCTAACAAAATGGGGGAAGGAAAAAGAAATTCTGAAAATTTTGAGACAAAAAAAAAAAAAAAAAAAAAAAAAA